GTGATCTCTAGATGTAGCCAGGGGACTCAGTAACCAGATTGGGAGGCAACTGTCATACCTGAATAAGGTGATATCGCATTACCTCCAAAAGGTTTAAGAGAACCTCTGATCCTCCAATACATTATAGCTCTGGGGGAAAAGAACACTTTCTCCTTGCAGGCTACAAAGAGAGTGTTGTTTTCTAGCACAAATGCCCTCCTGCTGAATACCACTTGGCTAACGGACTGCTGAGACATGCGGAGAGGCTCTCAGAGTGGGTGGGGAGACGGGCCCATCAACGCGCAAAGCACCCACATGCTGTTTCAGGAGTGGGTTTCTCATCCCTCCCAAAACATGGAGTAGGACAAGGAGCAGAAAGGAAGAAAAGGAAGCGAGAAGAAGGGAGAAAATGGTGAGAAGCAGGCTCTTATTTATTTTTAATCTGTGGCTTTCTGTTACCTGGTATGCTCTTTGTGGCCTAATGACATTTAAGCAATACGACATGTACCAATTCCATCAAGGCTCACAAGAAAGAACAGTCTGTTCTCACTAGACAGCACAACTCAAAGTAAGATGCATGAAAGAATTTTCTCAGCGCACATTAAATAGCAACCAAAAGCCCTAACACGGAAGAAAACTCAGTGAACTAAAAAAAAAATGTATGAAGGTCCAGAAATATAATCACTCAAGAGCACATGACTGAAAACTCCAAGAGCAATAATGCATTCTTTTCCTACAAAATAAATTATTAAAAGGGGCCATGTGATTCTTAGCCAGCAGAAAGATGCACTTTCCCAAGGAAAAGTTCATCATTAAATGGATTATTTAAGACTGTATCTTTGTAATGTTATTTTTAATCCCATCATTTCACTGCCAAAACTGGGCCGTAAGCAGCTGATACTCAACCAATAGAAAAATGAGGCTTTTTCTCGAACAGTATGAGCATGGTACCAATTCCCAGTTAATAATATGTAGATGGATGGATGCACAGATGTGAATTATATTCAGAAAAGAGACACAAAAATCTGACTACTCCCTCATCAACTGAATGAAGTCAATCTCCTGCATGTTCTTGTTTAAAATATACGAATCACTCCTCAACATCAGTCGGACAGTCCTACTTCTTGCTTTATAGCATGGAAGGTTCACAATTTTCCTTTACCATCAGCTTACCCTTCATGCTTCTGCTCTTTACCAGCAAGAGTCCCTAGTCTCAAAACAACTTCAAGGCCACCAAAAACTCTTTAACGGACCTTAAACTGTGCTGTAAGGAGATAAAGTACTAACAGAGCTGGGTGTTGATGGTTCATACCTATAAGCCTAGCTACTCAGGAGGCTCAGATCTGAGGATCAAGTTCAAAGTCAGCCTGGGCAGGAAAGTCAATTGAGACTTTTACCTCCAATTAACCACTAGAATACCAGAAGTGGTGTGTGGCTCAAAGTGGTAGAGCACTAGCCTTGAGCGAAAGAACTCAGGCTCAGCACCCAGGCCCTGAGTTCAAGCTCCATGACTGACTCCCCCCGCCCCCCAGAAATACTAATACATCCATTAAAGGAGCAAATTTCTTGCCTTTTAATTGCAGTAGGAAAATCATCTTAGTTTAATGGACCACTGATAATCAATTACAAAAACAGTTACAAAACTACCATGGAAAACGCTCTTGAATTTTCCTTTTAAGAATCCAGATACTTTTTTCCTTCCCTTGACCATGTAGGTCTACTTCATATAATAAATACACAAACACACTCATACTAAAAATACTGTAAGAAACAAAAGGTATACATCAACATGACATTCTTAGAAGACTGCACACCTATCTCTCCCTCTCTGCACTCTACTTCATAGGGTCCCACCGGTCTAGTGATCATCTGAGAAAGTTGGTATTCCAGGAAAGACTGGAAAAAAGAGGCCCTACACAATCCATTCCAGGATGTGATTCTTCCTAATAAATAAATAAATAAGATGTCCCTCAGAAGCCAGGCACTGGTAGCTTAAGCCTTGTAATTCTAGATTCCCATAAGGCTGAAGTCTGGAAGAGTAAAGTTCAAAGAGCAACCCAGAGAGAAATGTTCCTGAGATACCATCTCCAAAAAAAGCCCAGATGCATGGTTTAAGTGGTCGGGCACCATCCAAGCAAGAAAGCAAAGCAAGAGGGAAGCCTTGAGTTCAATAGCTGGTACCACCAAAAACAACAACAACAACAAATAGACTCCTAGGAGTCAACTTAGTAGAGAGCACACGTCGCTTCAACATGCACACAAATCACAGTAGCACTGGGGTGAGTCTTAGATTCTGCATCTGTGAGAAGCTCTCAATAACACTCAGACTGCTGGTCGAGGAGCCACACTTCAGTGCCAAGGTCTTAGGCAGTTTTAGAGCTAATGCTCTCTCTTTCCTCTTTCTCTGCATGCCACACAAAGCCTTATTCAGACTTCGGAATGAAGCCACGCCCCATTCTACACCCAATTACTTCTTTAGTCTTTTATTAATTTGAAAGCTTCAGGGACCACTTATCAGAAGCTGATCACTACGAGGAATGCTTCCTCCATGTTATAAAGCCTAGGCTATGAAGAACTCCTCTCAGCCAAGGAAGGGTCTGGACTTTGCAAAAGAAAAGCAAGGAACAGAAAAGGTGACATCAAGAATACTGTAAAGTGTTCTAGAGATCAAGGTGATCTACAGAGCCCTAGAAATGCCACCATTGTGGTCTCAGGGCAAGGAACTATGCTAGCCCTCTCCTGAACCTGTCTCACTGTTATCAACCCAACACGGCACGATCCAAGCTATTATTACAGATGCAACTGTGACTGGTGCAAATCTGGAGGAAAAGCTGTCTGCATGCCAGATGCCTTTAAAAAAGAAAACTTAAGATGAAAACCACACATATGAATTGATGGTTGAATCATTAATAACTTGCAAATACTCCAACTTATATTCCGAAATGTTCACATATGAATGTATTTCCTAATACATACTTTTTCTGAGTGCCAAATTCCTTTGTTTTGCTAGATAGCCAATCATCTATGTATTGTTCTGAAAACTATTACACATTTTACCCTGAGTCACTTGTGGTTCTATATGATTTATTTTTACTATAGGAGTCGTCAAAAAAAGTGTTTTATCATGTTCTACAGTATGTCATTGTGGTTTGGCATCGTTAAAATGTAGTCTGTACATTTATCAACCCCAGATACCTGTTGACCACAAAGATAGGCTCGACAAGGAAAACCCGATGGGGAACAGGAAAAAAACGTGATGCTTCATTTAAAAAGAAACTCAGTGGTATAAGATCTTAACATACTGCAATTCAACTCAAGGCCAAGGGTATATCTAAATTTCTATCCTAAACATATGGCCTGGCTTCCCACCTTTTTATTAACTTAATAGATGGCAGTTATTACCTTGGATTTCTTTCAACTAGAAGGCAAAATGTTTTAAAATTTCATAAAAATCTAAGTAGTAAAAGTATTAGTTTTTCTTTTGATTTTAAAATGATCCTTCTGGAGTCTGGATACAGTGACTAAAAATCAAACCACCTACTTAATGAAACTCTTAACAAAAACGTTTTTCATCCTTTAGCAAATTCTTCTGGAATTACTAAAGATTCTGATAATGTGGGTTCCCAACAAACAGGCAATTCATAAAGAGCATTCGAAGTGTAGAGGCTTAAATGTTGCTAGCCTAGTTAATTTTACTTTTAATGATGGAATAGCAACCTCAATATTTTGTCACCTTTGATCAAATAACATCAGATGTTCACTCAAGCATCCAGTTTGTTTGGTTTTTTTTTCCCCCTCTTTTGGGGCTCTGAACATCAGCTCATGTTGTGAGATGTAGTAAAAACAAGTAATACGCTTTTGAATCCACGTGCAGTCAATTCTAGACTCTTGGCACCTGATAGGTTCTAAAACACAATATTAATCATTCTCCCCCCAAAACTAGAAAAGGCAAGAGCTTTGGAAGATAACTCTTTAAATTAAAACAAAGTGGGCTTTAAAAAAAAAGAAAGAAAGCAGATAAGAATGACTTGATTGTCTTACATACGAGGTGTAGATCTTGACGAGACACCCCAACTCTTAGGAGCTGCTCTCCACCCCTTTTCATGAAAAAGTACTGCTGGGTGGTAGAATGACGGGAGCTCCATGTAGCACCGGACCAGAGAACCACCACCTCACAGACAGTCTGCGAAGCTATAGGGATTAGCTACTTCAACTGCAGTCAGCGCTCAAGAAAATCCCAAGCTAAGAACCACCTCTCCTCACAGATAACCTGGGTGCAAGTTTTCAGCAGGGAAGACGGCCAAATGCTGCGGATCTAGGTGGGGGGATAGTAGACACCAAGATGGCAGCGAAGGTTTAAGTCTTGCATGGGATGTGGGATGCAAAGAAGGCTCGCAGAGCAAATCCCCTGGCTGAGGCCTCCCGCGGAGGCGCCCACGGCCCCGAGGCCCCGGGGGCCCGCTCCCTGGGAATGTGCCCAGGGGCCGAGGCCTACCCTGCCTCCACACACACAGCTCCGTGCTCCAGGAAAGCGCTACGCCTGCGCTTCTCGTGTGGGCAAGCGTTCGGAGTGAGCCAGCAGAGGCCTGGTCTCAGTCCACTGGGGGGGTCTGTCCCTCTCATGGGAGGACACCTACGTGGAGGCCACGGCACTGTCCACCAGGGGGGCTGCGGACCCCGCGGGCTGGCGCCTGAGCGGTCCCGGACATCCCCCACGTCCACCGGCTAACTGGGCCCACGTTGAGAGGACGCTAGATCTCCGAGCCCTCGCGTCCCACGAGATGGGCAGCACCTGGGGCCAGGAAGCGCCGGCCGGGGCCGCAGGAGAGGCCCATCTTACCCTCCGGCTCAACCAGCCTGCCCCGGACCCAAGGGGAGGACCTGGGACCCAATCTCGACTCCATTTCCCCCCTCCCGGCACACACCCTCTTAACCACAGCCCCTCACACCCGAGATCTCGAACCCAGACCCACCCGAGCGCACGCGCCTGCGCGCGCGCACACGCACCCCCTCACACCTACCCAGCCTCCATTATCCTGGATCCAGGTGTGCAGGTGTCGGTTCAGGTACTCGGTCATCCACAGGGCGATGTTGTCCACCAGGGGCGACATCTCCCGGTTCACGCTCTCCACGCACATGACCCCACCGAACTCGAAGAAGGCCACGATGCGGCCCCAGTTCACCCCGTCCCTGAACAGCTCCTCCACCACCGTGGCGAAGCGCCCCCTGGCGGTGAAGGGCGTCAGGTGCAGCTGGCTGGACATCTCGGCGAAGTCCCGGCGGTACCGGCGGGAGAAGTCATCGCCGGCCTGGCGCAGCGTCAGGTGGACCACAGGTGGCACGGGGCTGAGCGCCGGGCCCGGGGCGGCGGCGGCGGGGTGCG